GGAACAGCCGCGTGTCTACGTGTTTGGGGGGGATTCTTACGCGTGCGAAGAAGAAGAGCAGGTGGCACAGGGCGCCCGCGTCAAAACGGTCTAACTGGGGGATGGCAAACAACTGCATCAAGTCAAACAGACTTCTCATCCTCTTTAGCGGCACCACACCGGTCCCCACAACGGCCAACGAGCGAGCCAGGTTCGACAATGTCAGCGGCGTAAACGGCCCCCCTTCTCCGCCCTCTGGGTTTTCCTCGACCAGCAGAAAGGCCAACCGATCAGCGACGGGGCTCAAGAAGGAGGCGTCCCGAATGCGAAGAGCCGCGCATGCTGCCAGCACGTTCGTCACGTCTAGCACGGATGCAACGCCAAGATTGTCGATGAAGTTGCGCTGAACCGCTTTGATAAGTTCCGGTGGGCAGCCGCGCAGCCTGGCCATGGCCTGCAGCAGGTTGGAGCCTTCTCTCGGCGTGAAGTCGCTTATCGTGTCGAGGGCCTCCCGCACAATGAGGCTGGTGATCTGCGGGTCGTCGATGCGCAACTTGCTCAGTGACCAGGCGAAGTTGCTCAGCTGAAACGGGCTGAGAGTGCCCTTCTCCTCCAGGTACTCGACAGCCAATTCGAGCAGCTTCTCGAACCGCCAATCCTCCAGCAATTGCGCGCCCGTCATGCCTGTGTTCTTGGCGATCCTGAACAAGGCCGTGATGACGTTCACCTCGTTGAAGTTCTCGAACGACTGGTCGACGATGTCGAGGATTCGCCCGAGAGTGCTCGCCTCATGAATCATCTGGTTGATCTCTCCTGCCGCCACGACCGGCTTGATGCCCTGGGCAGGTGACGAGGACGACAGCCGTGTGTTTGTGGCCGGTGTTGGTGTGATGGCGATGGATGTGTGCCGTCTTGCTGAGACGATGGGAGGCGACAGGAAGGCGGAGAGGGAGTGCCGCTCGATGATTTGCTGACGTCGAAAGGCATGGTTGAGAGGGAAGACTAACGCCACCAGAACGGTGAGGACGGTGATCATCATGGCAGCAGGGTGCTGCGTGATGAACATGGGCTGTTGTGGATGAGTTATAAGATGGCCGATGGATCCGGTCAGCCAGGCGTCATGATCAGCACAAGATCTTGCATTTCAGTCCCTCTTCCTCTTAAGCTCGCAAATGTGCGATCGCTTGAGGAAGGTTGGCACCTTCTGTCCATCGGCGAGAGCCCATTTCACACGCTGGTGGAGTCCGAGGACACATCCTTGTCCAATCACGTGAGATAATCGATATCGCTCTCCGTTTGGTCGTGCAAGTCTGCGCAGATGCGCCGCGTCAGGGCCAATATCAAGGCCAAGCGCGGTGCCGCCCGTCCCCCTCATGGCGCCAGCAGCACGGCCGCCATTACATCGCCGCAGCTGAGCATGGAAGCGGTCGTGGAGGTCATGAAATATCTGCCCAGTGGGGCTGATGTGGGACGGGCGGAGCGGGTGTGTCGGGAGTGGCGGGAGGCATCGCGGGTGGGCAAGCACCACGTGTGGGAGGCTCGGGTGGATGAGCACAAAGCCAAGATCGGCAATGCACGGTACGCTCAGCAGAAGCCATGAGTCGGAGATGGCTCACTCGGCGTCCATGGGGGTGTGAACGCCTGTGTGTGAGGGTCGTGCAGGCTGACGTATGGCATGAGGGCTGGAGGCCGGTTCGACCACGGGAGCAGCAAGGAGCAGTACGTGGCCGCTGCGTGCACCGAGTGCGGTTCGCTGGCCACATATGAGCTGAGTAAGTCTGTCGCAATCAATAGCACACTCGTGTGTGTGTGCGTATGGTCACCTGCCTCTTTGTGTGTGCTGCCGTGTGTGTGCAGGTAAGTACGGCATTCGGCTGTGCGAGCAGTGTGCGCAGGTAAGCCGAGCTAAACACACACACACACATTGATGGATGGATGGATGGATGGGCGTGTGAATGGTCCTCCCATACACACGTGTTTGTGTGCAGGCCGAAATGAGTGACGAGACGACGTTCCCCAAGTGCCGGAAGGACCTGCACCTTTTCGCAAAACTCAACGTAGGCAATGCAGCCCACACCCATTGCTGGTGTCTGTGTGGCTACATGGCGTGTATGTGTGCCGTTTGTGTGTCCAGAAGGCGTTGTGTCCGCTGGGCGGCGTCCGTTGTGTGGGCAGCATGATGGCCATCACCCCCACTCCCCCCGCCAGGCAACGAGCCAACCGACGGCCCCGCCGCCGCGCCCAGATGACCGGCGGCATGATCGAGCTCTCGCCCTGACCCACTCAAGTGTGCACAATGGATGGGTGGTTGTTCGGTGGTGGGCGGCCATGTGATGTGTTGCGACCGATGGACTCACTTTCCTCGATATGGGTAACCATATGCCGGCACTGATGTACAGCGGGTGGGTCCTTGGCGGGGCTGCATGTCAGTGTGTGGACGTGTGGATGTGGCTGCCTCAGTGGTGGGATGAGTGAGACTCGCGTGTGATGGTGTGCAGATCCGTGTGCATGGATCCATCTGCATGGGCCGTCTTCTCTCGTCTGTCAATGATTGACACATCGCCATCGTGTGTGCAGCCATGGTTTCTGTACCGACACACCCACTCAGACAGACAGACAGGTCTTCATGACTGAAAACAAACAACGGCATCATCGCGTGAACCAGCCACACTCACGGCAACAACGTTTCCACCCTTGTGCACACCTGAGTCAGCACACGGCAACCCGAAAGCGACAACACGTCATCTGTGCTGGCCCTCTCATGTTGCCACACACCGGCCGAAGTGCACGCGAGAGAGAGATGGAGACTACAGGGAGGAAAGACCAAACAGGAAGATGAGTGTGGGTGCGCAGACAGCGGAACACACAGAATGCCATGCCATGCCATGCCATGCCATGCCATGCAGGCCAGGCCCGTGTGTACATGTAATATGTGTCGGGTGATATGTACAAATACGTATACACATACACATACACATACACATGGACATGAAACGATCGCACACAGGTTTGCCGCAATTCGCCGACGCAGACAACCGACAGAGGGAGGGACACTTGAACGAAAAATCGTCCGCTCCCAAGACCTCTCTCTGTTTGCTTCTGTCTGTCTGTCTGTTCACTGCCAGTCTGTGCATCTCGCCCCACCGCCGACGCTCGCGTATGAGTCATGCCGTCGACACACACACGGACGTTGGCTGTGAGCATGACACAAGCAGGCAAAGAATCTGACCAAGCAGACCAACGGACAGTCGTATGTGCGGATGGATGGATGTGACCCTCTCTCTCCCTCTCTCTTACAGTTATGCCTCTTCGGTGTGTGTGTGTGTGTGTGTGGTTCGCCTGTCTGTCTGTGTGCCGGCCGTGTGTGACGGCTGCATCAACGAGAGATGGCAACACTCTTGTGAGCACACGTCCCACAATCCCAACTGACAGACACGGCGAGCGAACGACACCACAGCAAAACACAGCACAGCACAGCACACAGATGCATCAGCAGCCAGCCACTCGATCCTCATTTCTGTCTGTCAGCCGTCACTGTCATTCGCTCTCCACCTCCAACTCACCGGCCGACACACCGTAGTCGTCAGTGGGCAGCTGACGAGTTCGAGGCCGAGTTCGTATGACAGTGCAGCTGCAGCCAGACAGCGAGGCAGCGACCGGTACAAAACCAGCACCATGCACACATACGAATACACAAGCAGACAGACACAAGTGAGAGAGACAGAGAGAGAGGACACTTGCAGGTTCTCCCCCATTTCCACGCCCTCCCTCCCTCTGTCTTGCCTGTCTATTTGTCTATCTGTCTGTCTGTCTGTCTCACTCTCATCACCGACACACATATGAACGTCAGCAGACAGGGATACTGACGAAATCCCATATATATCTCTTCCAGTGTGTGTTTGTGTGTGTGTACTGTCCATCCGCCCACACAAAACACATGAATGATACACACATCAATGCGCGTATTCATGTCTCGGTGTCTCGTCCGCCTTCACTACAAAACACGCGGCATCCATCAACACGGTGCCACCGCACACGAACGACAAAAAAGCACAGTCACGGTCTTTCCCATCCCGCTCCCCAACACGGCCATCAACAGGTGCGCAGCCAGCCAGTCAGCCAAACCATATGTGTGAGTGTGCTGCTCTGCCGTCTGTCTGACGGCCGTGTGTGACGGGTGCGGCAACGAGAGATGGCAACACTCTCGATAGCACACGTCACACCCAGCTCTCCAAGACCGAAAACGAACCACAGCTCAGCAACAGCACAGCGCAACGGCATGCCCATAACGACTTGCTGATGATAGCCGGAGAGTTTTGCTGGTGATGGGCAGAGGGCAGCCGAGCACAGCAGGGAGGCGGGGGAGGGAGATCTGCATCTCGAAGGCCGGGAGGGGTCTGGTAATCCAACCTGCACGCCAGGAACACAGAGGAAGATGCATACCTGGATAGATAGATAGATAGATAGGGTGTTCAGTGCATGTGCCTGGTACCCTGCTGTTGTGCACTCCTGCTTCTCCTCGACACGTGCAGGATGGTGGGCTGGCCGTGGACGCTCAGGTAGTTGTTGCCACGCCTGTCCAACAGGCACAGGCGTGCCTGTCGGACAGGCGTGGCAACGAGTATCTGGGCATCCACGCCCGCCCACCATCCTGCATGGCCCCTCCGCCCACTTGAGAAGCTCGCAGTTTTAGAGAAGGCTCCGTGAAACCGCTCTCTCGAGAAGGTGAAGTTGCGACGAGGACTCATTCCGAGAGGCCAGCCAGCCGATTGACTGGTGACAGTCGAGATCTCAGCTTGTGATCAATTGCCGCACTCATGGCGAGGTGAGCAACACGCACCACAACAGACGCCACAGGCAGGCAGATCTATCAGCGGGGCGGCCTCTGCATCGCATCTCATCTGTGAATGCCGTGCTCTGTCTGCCAGTCACGGCCTCTCTGTGCGCATTCTTGAATCATGTACTGTGTGTATTTGTGGCGATGTGTGTGTGTGCCTGTGTCTGTGTGGCTCATCAGCAGTCGGTTCAGGGTGTTGGTGTCCGACCCCATCGACAGTGCAGGGGTGGACATCCTCTCCACCGTCGCTGAAGTCGACATCAAAACCAAACTCACAGGCACGCACTCAAGTCACTCACACAATCATGGCACAATCACTCTCCCTCTGTGTGTTGCGTGTGCCATCCATCCATCGATCCGTCAGAGGATCAGCTATGCGAGATTATCGGCCAGTACGACGCCCTGATGGTCCGCAGCGGCACGCAGGTCACTGATCGCATATTGGCCAGGGCCGCCAGGCTCAAGATCGTCGGCCGGGCGGGCGTGGGGGTCGACAATGTGCACGTCAAGGCAGCCACCGACAAGGGCATATTTGTCGTCAACTCGCCTCTCGGAAACATGTAGACAGACAGACAGGCAGAGACGATGCAAAGAATGTGTGTGTGTGTGTTTCTGTTAGAGTGGCTGCTGCTGAGCACACCTTGGCGATGATGTTTGCCCTTGCCCGCAACGTGCCGGCTGCCGACGCGAGTGTGCGTGCGGGCAAGTGGGAGCGGAACAAGTTCATGGGGTCACAGCTGCAGCACAAGATACTTGGCATCGTCGGGCTAGGGCAGGTGTGCATGTGCGCCAGTCTGTCTGGTGCGGCCAGACAGAAAGAGAGCCGACAATGTGTGTGTGTGTGTGTGTAGGTGGGCAGCCATGTGGCCAAGGTGGGGAGGGAGATGGGCATGAAACTCGTGACTTATGACCCTTACGTCAACACACAAAAGGTAACCATGCACACACACACACACACGCGCAGTTTCTCAGGATGCGCCCATCCATCCGTGTGTCCGTGTGTGTGTGTGTGTGTGTGCCCATATATAGGCTGAGGCGCTGGACTGTTCGGTCGTGAGCATGGAGGAGCTCTTTCGGCTGAGTGACTTCATCACGCTGCACGTGCCGCTCATCCCCGAGACCAAGGCCATGATCAACGCGGAGACACTCAAGCACATGAAGCCCACCGCACGAATCATCAACTGCTCCAGAGGTCACTACACACACACACACACACACACAGAGAGAGAGAGAGAGAGAGACGTGTGTGTGTTTTGCTCCAGGTGGTGTGATAGACGAGAAGGCACTGAGCGAGGCTCTGCAGCAAGGCAGACTCGCAGGCGCGGCATTAGGTGGGACTCACACACACACATCCACACCTGCCTGTCTGTCTGTCTGTCTGTTTAATGATACAGATGTGTTTGAGGACGAGAAGGCCTTCCCCGCCGACCACCCCCTCCTCAACTGCCCCAACGTGGTCTTGACGCCACACCTTGGTAGACACACACACGGAGAAAGAGATTGATTTACTGGTTGTGATGTCGATCTGTGCAGGTGCGTCGACACACGAGGCGCAGGTCAACGTGGCCGTCGACGTGGCGCAGCAGATCAAGGAGACCCTTTTAGGAAACCTGCCTCAATCAGCCGTCAATATACCGGTCTGTCTGTCTGTCTGCCTGGCTGCCTTTGTGTATGTCCACCGAACCTACTGCACGTTGCGCTGTGTGTATGTTGTATGTGTCCACCCAGGGCCTGCGAGCGGCCGAGTTGCAGCAGCTGCTGCCTCTGCTGACGTGCTGCGACACGCTGGGCAGACTGGCGGTGCAGCTGCTCTATGGGCCAATGGAACGAGTGAGTAGGCGGCCCGCCACACATCTGATCTGCCCCCCTTCCCATCCACACGTGTGTATGTGTGTGTGCATCTAGATCACTGTTGTGTTGGAGGGCGACTACGCAGCCGAGAGGGGGGAGCCCCCGCTGCTGGCAGTGGCCAAGGTCAGTGCAGTGGGGGCGAGGCGTACTCACCGCACATTCGTTGGGTGTGTGCCAGCCCAGCACGTGTGTATGTTGGGATGGATGGATGGATGTGTGTGTGTGTGTGTGTGTGTAGGGTGCGTTGGGGTTCCATACGGACCGTCCTGTCAACTTCGTCAACGTGCGGCAGGTGGCTGAGCTCTTCAAAGTCGCCCTCACCGTGGCAAAAGGTACACACACACACGCACATCCATCCACCCCTCTGTGTGTGGGTGTGTGGATGCGCTCACACAGAGGAGCACCACGCCAAGGCGGGAGTGCGTGTCGAGTTGAAGAGCAAAGAGGACCAAACTTCGCTCAGAGGCACACACACACACTCACACTCACACTCACACAGAGAGAGAGGGGCATACACACATGGATATGTGTGTGTGTGTGTGTGTGTCGACAGGCACGATAACAGACGAGGGCAATGTGCTGCTGACGTCCTTCAAGGGCGTCAGCATGTACATGCTGCTGCCCGTCATCGGACTCCGCAAACAGTTTTTTGTCTACACACAACACGAGTGAGGCGAGGCGGCCAACTGTGGCCTCACCACACCTGACTGACCTGCACACACCACCACATCCATCCATCCATCCATCCGTTGGATACGCCTGTGTGTCTGTTCTGTGGGTGCATTGCATTGAATTGATTGATCAGCGACACGCCGGGTGCGTTGTCTCTCATCTGTGGCATGCTTGGCGAACACGGCCTCAATATAGGCGACATGCACCTGGGTGACTACACACACACACAGACAGACAGACATGGGATGGGTGCATCCCTACCTCTGTGTCTGTCTGTCTGTCTGTCTGTCTTGGTGTGTGTGTGTGTCTGTGTGTGTGTGTATCAGGTCGCACCGAGAGCTGTGGTGTGTGCATATCGTCGATCGACTCTCCGCCCTCAGACACATTCGCAGACGCACTCAAGAGGAGACAACCACCAATACGAGTGAGTATGGGTGGTTGGATGGATGGATGGATGGATGGATGGATGGAACGATGTGCGCGTCAATCAATCAGCGTCTGTCTGTCTGTCTGTTTGCAGGAGTACCGGATCTTCAGCCTCTGACCCCCCCTCCCTCCTCTCCGTCCTTCGTACGCTCCACACATACAGATGCCTGCCTAGGCCTGTGTGCTTACGTCTTCGTGTGAACGGACTGCACCGCACCGTACCAGTGCAGTGCAGTGCAGTGCGTCTGTCTGCCATGGGTGTGGTGCATCTAGCTATGTATATTTTTGACGTGACGATCGTACGTAAGTCGTGATTGGGTGGCTGGTTGGGTGGCTGGGGAGTGTGCGGGCCGTGGTTTTAGAACTTCAGGGATGCAGAAGCGGCGAGGCGAGACGAGGCGAAGGCCCCC